GACATCATGGTACAGTCACAAGTCTTCTCATCTGTCCCAGCCCAAATCCGACCTTTGGGTGTCTCCCACGCTGCTTTCAGATGACAGGCTCCCGCTCAGAACGCAGAGGGACGAGGGGCTCCCTCTGGGGCCCGGGTGATGACTGAGAATGTGACCTGCCCCACCTGCAGGTTCTGGGTGTCAACATTACCTCCTGTCACCGCCCTCTGATCGTGCCTGTTTCTTCCTCCCCGTCTCGCCCCGTCTTACCTTACACCGGTGAGTTGCCACCACCCCCCCCACCCCCCGCGAAGTCACAGAGAAGGACGCACTCAGCTGGCCTGAGACCGCACCGTGCCCACCCTGGCCAGAATCCGTCTTTCCCTGAAGAAACATCAAGTGTTTTATGTGGTAAAACTTCCAAAAAATCCTCTTTAGACAGTATTCTGTCTCTAAAAATTTCACTCCCGTAGAACTTGTGAAGCCTCCGCCTTTGAGGACAATTCCCTCCTGCCATCCGCTCTCCCCCACCCCCTTCTCTGGGAAGCGGGACTGTCCCCTCGGCCTGAGCTTGCGTGTGGGGGGAGGCATCGCTGCGGCTCAGGTGCATGCACCCGGCCCCGGGCCGTCTACAGCTTCGGTCATTCCTCCATGGCTGGGCCGCGGGATCCATGGCCACCGTGAGGAGCTGAGTGCCTGCTCAGTGCCCGCTGCCGCTCCCAGAGATTCCTGCCCTGACTTAACACCGCCCTGTCTGTGCACCCGATTAATGGGGATAAAGGCCATCTCTCAGCTAGTTATTGAGTGACTAGCTTCCTGCTCGCTCCACCACTCTGACACCCACCGGGCCCCCAGCATGGCACGCCTGTACCTGCAGCTGTGGTGGCAGCATCCCCACCCCACTTCACCAGGGACTGGGCTATCTTTGATCCCTAATCTTAGCTTGTGTCCACCGCGCTGCTGCCCTTTCTGATCTCACAGGTCATTCTGTCTACACTGCTCTCCTACCCCGGGCTGCTCTTGGCCAAGACCACCTGCAAAAACAGCTCTCACCTCGCACAGTGTCCGCGTGAAGGCTGGCATCCTTGGAGCCAGACCTGAGGTGCAGACTCAGAGAGGCCAGAGAGGAAAGTGCTCCTGTTCCAAGTGAGGGGCCTTGCAGACCAGGATCCCCTGAATAGCAATGCTATTACTCAAACCTTTTCTATACTAGTTACGCCACGTGCAAACTGCAGTTATAGGAGTCAAATTCTGTCCACCCCCAGGGAAATTCTCACGTGTGTGCCAAAAGAATACACATAAGAATTTTCATTGTATGTAGTTTATGGTAACAAAAAGTTAGAAAGGGCACACATTAAGAGACAGTGAAACAATGGAAATGATTTCAATGAAGAAAAGCATGGCAAAATGATTAAACGGCAAAAAGCCCTGGTGAATGTGGGGAAGGGAGCTATGAATGGGAATGGACTGGGAACGATTTGGTAATGAAGATTTAAGCAGTCTCTACTTTCATTTTTATTTTTAATTCCCCTCATCATAATTTACCTGTCTAGTTTTCCAGTTTCTTTTTAAGCCAAATGTTGTCATTTAAATTTTCTTAGAAATTCATTCATTTTATGCAGATTTACAGATTTATTTCTATAAACTATTTTTTATATTTGTTTATTCTCTGCATATTTTTCATGTCTGTAGTTCAGTAGCAATAAATATTTACTAAGCACCTATTTTCTGCCTCACACTGTGCTGGCATTCCTGTGAGGGATAACAAAAGGTAGATAAAAGCAGAAATATGTAACATAATGTTTGTGGCGACAAATCATTTCATGAAAAATACTGCATGGAAGTGGATACACAGCTATGGGCGTGCCCTCTGAGGGGCTCTCAGCAGGATGCTGTGAGGACAGGACTCAGGGTGGAGAAAGGGTCAGTCGCTTGAGACTCTGGGAAAAGATTTCCCAGCAGTAGAAACAGCAAGTGCAAAGACACAGGCTACATAATGCATTTTTCAGTTCTGGAAATTCCACATGATTCTTTCATAGAGTTTCCATTTACCCACCAAAGATTCCTCTATGTTCACCCTTCTGTTCATTTACCTGAAAAAAGTGTATATTTATATTAATGATATATGCATATCATATAAGCATATTAAAGACTGCTAATTTGAATATCTGGAGTATCATAGATCCATTTCTATTGCCCGTTTTCTCTTAAGAGTTGCATTTTCCTGCTCCATTGAATGTCTGGTATTGCTCCACGAACACTGAACATTGTGGACGATATACCACGGAACTTCTGGATTTCACGGTATTCCTCTGAAGCGTGCCTATTTTCAGTTGTGCTGACTGCGTTAGATTCTGTGTTTGTCGATTTGGCATCTATTGATTACATGGACAGACTGACAGTCAGAACTGTTCGCACCATCCTTGCAGTCCGGCTTTCCTGAGTCTGGAAGCCGCCTGCTGCAGACTCCCGCTCTCGGGGGAGGGCAGTCTTCGCTCTGCGCTTGCCTTCACGTGGCCGAGGCCCAGCACGCCATCAAGCAGCCTGCTTCACCCCAAGTTCTCCAGGTCAAATGTGAGTCCATGAGCACCCTCACGGAAACATCCAAAATGGTGTCGCATCAAACATCGGGGATTTAAGAGAAATTTTAAAGCAGACTTTGTGTTTCTCCTTCTAAGGTTGCTTTCTTCCTCGGGTTGCTCTTCTAAATTCTAGCCACTATGATGGTTTTAAACCCCCACCTCTGTCTTCTTGCCCAGCAAGACAGCCACTTCCTGCTCGAACCGTCTCTGTGGGCAGCATAAACTGGTCCAGTCCTCAGGGGCAGAGCTGAAAGATGTGACACCTATTTCTCTTTCTTCAGGTTGTCAATTTCCCTCTGGCTTACGGTGGCTCTTTGGTGACTCTGAACACTTGTTTAAGTGTATTTTGTACCGAGTTAGTAATTGTTATTAGCTCAAGGGTTGCAATGAGACACAACTCTGTCATTACCAGCTTCCGAATCCCTCAAGTTTTTTTTTCTAAGTATTTTAGGATGTGCAAGCAAAGAAATATTTTTGCACTAGCATTTTTGAATTTTTAGAATTTTTATTTCATTGTGGTCAGTGTAGAGCATATAATTTCAATCCTTTTTAATTTGTTGGGATTATTTTTGTTTCTGTGTGGCCTATCTAAGAAATTCCAAAGTTAGTATGTTGATATTTGGGAGAACTGGTTTCGAACCTCCTGCTATTTCTCGTTATGTGAATATCATGATTTACTATGATGTTATTTCAGAGCTATGTGGTCAGGCACATAAAGCGTCACGATGCTTTGATTATCCTGGTGGATTGTCAATGTTAAATATCCTTCTCTGTGCCTTGTTAAGTTTTTTACTTGAATTCAATTTTTTTTTGTGATATTACTATTTCTACATCTTTTTGTTTTTCAGTATTTGTCTGGTAAATTTTGTCATCCTTTTATTTTCAACCTCACTTTAATTTTTATTTTAGTTATGTCCTTTATAAATAGCATGTGGCTGAATTTTCAAAGTCAAAATATGTTTTAAATAGGTAAATTTAGTGAATTTAATCAGTTCACATTTATTTTTATGTATTATATTTATTTTGCCACCCTAATTTGTTATTTATTATGATGTTTGCTTGTTTGTTATTCTTTGATTTGATTGGATTTTCTTTGTTCTTGGTACTCTCAAATTTTGAATTTTCTGGATATAGTTGGCTTTGCATTTATCTCACTAGATTCTTCCCTCTAAACTAAGGTCTAGTGCCTTTCTGCAGCTATAGTAAATTTTATTCTCTCTCTTTTAATATATCCTTTTCTTTATTCTGTCTGCTCCCTCCTTCTAGAACACTTGTTAAATAAATATTAGAACTTCTGGATCTTTCCTCCACATCTCCAAACTTCCATTTAATATAGTCACTTATTGTCCTTCTGCAACTGGCTTTGTGAATGAGAAAACAGATTTCACAAACTTCAGACAGCATGTTAGCGCCTAGTTTGCACCAAGACTTCCCGACCCTCCTTCCCCTCGGCCGGCCGTGGCCCTGGGCACGGCGATTTCCTTGCCCTTCCGTCGCCTGCTGGGTTCTTTTGTACCCCTGGAATTGGCGTGCCAAGAGGCGGAAGGCTCTGCCCTCCTTCCTGACTGGCAAACTCCTCCGTGTCCAGGCCGAGACACCGCTCTGCTGGCTGTTAGGAGTTTCCCTTTTTTCCAGGCTCCAACAGGACACCGTTCACACCTCTAAATTTTAGAGCAGTGTTAGACCTGCCCAAAAGCTGGAAGTGTACTGAGAGTCGGCGCTGCCCCACAGCCAGCCTCCCCTGTGACTCACATCCTTCACCGGTCCGCGGCGTTCGTCACGGTCGATGAGCCGCCGCTGGTGCGTGATCATGGACTGAAGGCCACACGCTGTTTGGATTTGCTCAGCTTCCACCCAACACCCTTGTCCTGGCCCAGCAGCACCCCAGCCAGGAGGCCACGTGACTTCCTCAGCCTGCCTCCCTGGCCTGTTCAGACTTCCCTCGTTTCGGGTGACCTCGACAGTTTTGAGGAGCACTGCTCAGAGACTTTGTAGGCTGACCCTCACTGGGAGCTGTCTGATATTTTTCTCACGAAGATAAATTTCTTTTAAGCTAAACTTAAAATAAAATTGATTCTAATTATACAGAAGCTAAGCGTTCACTCATCTTTATTATTGCTCATGTAAATAAAATTAGCCAGGTAGCCGGCAAATCCCGCTGAGGTTCGCGGTGGGCGAGCTCTTGTTTAGCGCCAGCAAGGCAGCTGTTCTCTAGCGAGTGCGGGCGGCTGTGGCGGCTCCCGCGCCGCTGTGCTCCCTCGCCCAGCTCCGCCAGGCCCCTTTGCTCGCTCTGTCGCCGGGCGGGGGGCTCTTGGCAGCGTGGTGTGAGCTCCCCAGGGAAGCCCATCAGGGCTGCCCGTTATTATTTTTTTAGCAAAGAAGGAAGCATAAGGAAGCCTTTACAATGTGGTTCTGATTTTTTCCCTTTTCTGAGTTTAGATCAGGAGATGGCAACACACTGTGAGTCCAGCACAACTAGGAATTGAAACCATGTTCAAGAGTCACCCCAGAGCTGTTCTGATGGGGCACCTGCAGCCAGCAGCAAGGGCTCTGCTGCCGTCACCTGTAGACTCACTCTGAGAGGGGACATTCCGTGGACTCCCGCCTACAACGTCCAGAAGACGGGGCTGTGGGTGACACTCCTCTCACCCCCTGTTAGCCTCTGAAGTCCTGATGTCTGGCCCCGCTGACAATCCCTACTCCTCTGGTCAGGCCTTGACTGGGGTTCATTCAGTCTGGGCGTAAGCAGAATTGATAACCAGAAGGACAGTGAGACACAGTGGAGCAAGAGAAACCCTTCTCAATTAGAGGACAGTGACGGGCACCTGCTACCTTCATCGTAGCCTGTGGATCTCCGTCTTGCCTGCACTGCCAAGCCTGCTTCTTTAGACACGCTGCACTCTCTCCAGCAACCCGCCGCAACCACGCGCGTGCTCCTTTGGGTGGACGGTTCACTGGGGGTTCAGCGTGCGGGCTGGACCTACTTCCTGGTCCACCACTTACTGACCTCTGATGAGTGACTCAACTTCATCTTAGTTTGCTCAACCGTGAAATGAGGGTGATGATCACAGGGGATTGAATGACTTTCCAGAGTTACTGTATGCAAAACCCTTGGAACAGTGTCCAGAACTGGTAAACACCCTGTGAATGTTCCCTGTGCTAATGTCTGGTACGAGACTCTGCCTATGTGGGAAAGCACAGAACACAGAGATGCGGCCCTTAATCAGGGGAAACCACAGGCAAGCTGTCCCACCGCTAAAGGACCTGTCCACTCACACAGCAGCTTTTGGCTGCAGCCCCATGTGCTGCCCCACCGCCCCGCGCTGCACCACCGCTCCGCGCTGCACAGAGAAGGGCCACAAATGGAGAGAAAATCTCGAGTCGGTTGAAACTGCAGGACCATGAACGCTCGGACCTAAGATATGCCGCTAGGTGAGGCTGGGACATCCAAGGCCCGAGTGACATCCCTGCATCTGTATACGAGCCTGGGAGATGTGCCACTCAACTGTCATCTGACAATAATGTACTCATGAAAAATCATATTCTTTGAAGGAAGGTTAATTAATCTGACAAGTGTGAGATTATAACAAATGACCCCGAGGGAAAGAATCAGTCGTAGCGTGGGGCCAGCCCCGCATGGACGTCCCACAGCAGCCCACGGCTCCTTCTGCACATGCCACCTTAGGGCGCAGGAGCCTAACGACTCCTCCAGGCCAGTTGTCCCTGTTTTCTCTCATAAATCCCTGAGAAAGTCCTAGATCATTCTTCAACACATGTGTTCTTAACCCCACTTCACAGGCTCGAACACCTGCAGCAATGTGGGGCTCACTCTCTCCAAGTGCAGCCCATCCTTGGCCCCTAACAGCTGCCACAGCAGAGGCGAGACCCTGCTGCAGACCCTTCGCAAGTCCCAGGCAATGGCCCCAAGGCTGGGTGGTGACTGCCTTCTCCCTCCCTGTCCACTTCCATCCATCAGCAAGTCCTGGCATCTCTCCCCTAAGGTCCATCCCAAACCCACCATCCTCTGCCTCTTTGCCACTGGCACCCTACCCGAGCCACACTCACCTTTCCCTTGGACTGGGGCATGGACGCCCAGGCGACCCTAGGGGTTGGGACAGATGCTGACATGTGATGCCTCAGGCGAAACCACAGCAGCCCTGATGTCTTCGTCTCTGGCAGCCGAGCTCGGCTCAGCTGCTCCCAGATGACATGATGCAAGCTGCACCTTCGGCTCCACTCAGCTCGGCCGCCCTCTGCCTAGGCACCCTGCTGAGAAAGGAGCTTTAACTCCGCCAAACCACCATCCGTGTCTTAGAATCGTATGATTTATATTCCTTTAACACACAGAAGAGTATACACACACACGTTTACTTGTTAATGTATTGATTTTTATAGATTCAAAGTAAATATATTTTTAATTTATAGATCTATAGATTAATACACATATAGATGATTTTTAATTTATTGGCCTTGCCAGATAACCCTCTCCCACCTCGCCTTCCCCTCCCCTTGGTCCTGAGCCCTGCAGGCCCCAAACCGTGGCCATGCCGTTAGATGCAGGCTGGCTGCTGCCACCTGCAGCAGTGTGTTTGAGGGTCCTTTGTCCCCTTCCCTGTGGCCATGCTGCTCTTCATGCTGCATGGCTGGGGGGCAGCAGGGGAACCGTATGAGTTTTGGAGGCGCCAGGGCCTACTGGGCTGAGAGAGCAGGGGCTATCGCAGCTCTGGGGCTCTGCTCGCGCATCCCTAACAGCTGGACAGCACTCCCGAGCGGCCTGACTCCAGACGCTGCACCTGCAGCTTGTTGGGGCTGCCAGTCACGTCCAAGAGCTCCCTCTTGAAGGCCCTGTCCCCGGAGCTGCTCTGGGCAGGGGCTGTGAAGAGGGGCTTCAGAGAGCTTCCAGTGGCTCTGGAAGGACTCCCAGAAGGGAGCCGTTGAGCTTGGGTCTCGGGTACAAGCTAGGGAGAGCCCACTGCCAAGGGCCCCCAGCCCATTCTGCCTCCCAGATGACGTCAGCCTTTACCACCCAAGGCGAGGACGCTGGACTGCAGCATATTTCTCTGTTTTTCACACAGGAAACCTTGTGTGGGGCTGAAACAAAACCAGAGACCCGTGGTGGAGCTGGACGAGCATGTCATGAGTGGAGCGGGGAGAAGACCCACAGTCCTGTGCGCCGGAGCACTCACCTTCTGTTCGCTAGTGCTCCCGCCCTCACAGACCGGATGTCTTATTTAAAGTGCTGCTAAAGGAAGCAAATCAATTAGCGGATCCCTTACAAGATGGTTTATTCTATGTTACACACAGAACATTGCTCACGAACGTCGCATCACCACGCTCGGTTATCGGTTAACAAAGGCTGCCAATGAACAACATCATCACCAAGTCAGATGAAAGACACCCTGGGAATCCAGGCAAATTATGATAAGGCAGCGCCCCGTGTTGAAATGTAGCTCCTCTTTCGTCACACGCAAGGAGGACAGCCCAGTCTCTGCCGATGAGAGGGCAAGGAGTCTTCTGTGACGCAGTCCCGGAAATACAGGCTTGCGTCACGGGCGGGAGGAATGTCCGTGGGGCCTGCACCGCAGAGCCCTGCCTTGACAGCAACAACATAGGGACAGGGGCTTCCTGAGCCTCTACCATGCGCGTCTTTCATGCAAAAGCCATGCAAGTTGTAATAATAACCGCAAAGCGATGACATCAGGCTGGTAGCGACAGCTGACATGTGCGTAGCTCTGCACAAGGCCCGGCGTCTGCCGTCTCACTTAGTCCTGGGTGGGCGCCGCCATGTGAAGGCCCGCAGAGCTGCAGGCCCCTTCCCGACCCGGCCCTTTCCACGGTGCCCCGCCTGCCGTTTCCCCTCCAGGCCAGACCCTCACAGGACTGGAGACTGCCTCGCGGTCGCCACGTCTCAGGGCTCCTGAGTGTTCACAGGATCTGTCTTTAACATGGGATTTTCCTGGAAGCTAAGAAGGTGAGGCCAACGGTTCTAGAAAGTGCTGCTTAGCTGTTGACAGGATGATAGTGCTCAGGAAGTTGTGTCTCGGGCGATTCCCATTTCCATGAGCCATTTGCTGTGGGACACAGTGCCATCACAAAAGCATGAACAGCTGCAACAGAGGGGACTACAACAGGTGGTGTGGACTTTTTGGCTTCCATCTTTTCCTACTGCTGGCTAAAGCGCTCAGGCCTCCCTCTGCGCAGCCAGCTTCTTGCAGAAGAGGAGTGACATTTTCTTCAGGACACAGGGACGTAAGTTCCGTTCTTTCCATTACTTGCCTCCGGTGTTGAGTCCACGTGAAGGTCTCTCACCAGCCACGGGTGTTCGAATTCAAAGCGTCCTGAGACCGCAGCGGCCCGCGAGTGGTCGCCCACGCGGCTGAACCCTCCTGACGCGGCCGGCACCTACAGCTCAATCACTCGTGCATCTCTGGGAAGGAAGAGAACCAGCTGGAAGACACTGGCAGAGCGTGCTGTGCCTCATCGGCTCACGTGTGTCTGCGACCCACACAAACAGGTATGGAGGAGCTCGCCAGCAAAGCCCGGCAAGGCGGCATTTCCACGTGCAGCACAGGGAGGAACCTGAAGCCCAGGCCTCTGCGTCCGGGCCAGGGCTCGCCCCGCAGCTCGCCCCCGCCTGCCACGCTGGAGCCCACAGAGCCAGGCCTCACCCACGCTGCGTCGCAAAGGGAAGATGCCACCCCTGAGGTTAGTACGCATATTTCAGGGAAAGTGGCCCTTTCTGCTGTGGAAGACTTTGCACACATTTGGGCAGGTGCTACAGGGAACAAAGTAGACCTCTAGGGCTGTGGCTCCGCAATGACGCTTTCACGTCTGAACCGCAAGCTGTTGGCGAGGGTGGGACTTCTCTGTACTTACTGTCCCAGCCTTGATGGAAGGGAAGGGGAGGGCAGACGTATAAGAAACGAGGAACACAGGAGAAAAGATGAGGTCACCAAACAGGACCCTGAATAAGACAGCTTGGGCTGAAAGCCGGGCAAAGACCCTGCCGTGGCCACGCACGGCTGAGGGCCTCCCAGACCTCCACGCTCTGAGAACACATTCCCACCCTCACCGCAGCTCCACGCGACGCCACGTGCCGTGAGGGCAGACTGGCATGTTCGCACGCACGCTGAATGATGCGCGGTGTCTCTGACATTCCACTGCGCATGTTCAGCCACAGTCTCCTGACACCTAACTCACGTCTCCCCAGGAGAGAAGAGACGCCAGCGGCAGGAAGACAAGCCGAGTCGGAGACCGCAGGCTGGCCAGCACAGTCCCCCAGCCCGAGCGTGAGGACCAGGAGCCAGGGCAAGGTCGGCCCTGTAGAGCTTGACCGCGGCAGAGCCAGCACGGGAGACAAGGCAGACGCTGGGAACAAGCAAGGCCGGGCGAGGGGAAGGGGAGGGCGCGGGTTCCAGGCGAGGGCCTCAAAGCTGTCAGGTGTTTGTGCTTCTCCTTTAGAGGATGGTGGGGCTAGCAGAACGTGGAATTTAAGTCAGCTGGGCTGGAGGCCCAGGGGCTGAGCAGAAAGTTCATCCCTCTTGTCTTTAATAAGCCCTAGTTGGAAGACCCCTCAGGTTCTGTTAAGAAAGGGACCTGGAGAGGCCGGACTTGAGAGCCCAGTGCCCAGAGCGACGGGCAGCCGGAGGGCAGCCTCCCCCAGCCCGGCGGCCCGGCCCCGTGCCGGGGAAGGGGTGCCGTTGCTCTCCGACAGGCAGTGACGCCTCTGGAAAGGGACACATCGCGAGCCACTGTGGAGCCAGGCACCACCTGCCGGGACAGGAAGGCGGGGCCGAGTCTGGCACAGAGTCTGCGGGCGGGCTAGCGGGTGGATGGGCTGTGTGACATCCTGTGCTGGCTCAGGAGAAAGAGCGAGAGAGTTTGGGACTGCACAGTGTAGCGGCTGCTACACTCAGACCTTTCAGCAGGCCCTCCAGGAATCATGTAGACAAACAAGGAGAGAAGAAAAACAACAAAAACCGAACTAAAACTGATGACGAGGGTGCCTATCCGTTGTGGTTAGCCAGCCCAGTCCCAGGGTGGATCTGTGGAAGACACCCACCTTACTACCTGTTAATACTGAAAAGACCTTTACAAAATCCAACAACCATTTCTGATTTTTAAAACTCAGTAAAATAGGAACTGAAGAATGCTTCCTTAACATGATCAAATATGTGCACTTCGGCCCTGACGCGGGTGCCCCGCTTGATGGAAGCCACCAGCGGGTGTCCCTCCAAGACCAGCACCAGGCGAGCACGTGCACCGCCTCCCTGTCAGCGATGGTGGCTTTAGCCGACCCAGCCAGAGAGGAGAAAACAATTAGAGGGATGAGAACTGGGAAGAAGGTCTACCTTTGGCAGGTGACACAGTATCATGAAAACTCAAGGGATCAAGGAGTAAACAAACACAAACAGTAGAAGCATTCAATAAGGCAGCCACTATCATGTTGATGTACAAAAGAAATCAATATGCAATCAATGGCCAGGGAAGAGACATAATGGGAAACTCCATTTAAAGAGCCACGGAGATATAAAATACTTAGGAATAAACTTAAGAAATGTGAAGACCCTATGAGAGCAAAACCTGAAAACTCTCTTGAAACACACAAAAACAGACTTCTTAAAAAAATTATCTCTTTTCCCTGATGGAGCGTTTAACACGGTAAAGAAGTCAATCATCTTCGATTTAATATGTAAGTGTAATGCAATCCCAATAAAAATATCAAGATGTTTGTTTTCTGTAGAGAGATTCTGAAATTGATTCTGAAGTTCACGTGGAAAAATAAATACGCAAGAATACCTGGAATAGAATAGCAAGAACACACCCCTGGGAAGGAGAAACACCATGTGCACATGTGCTCGTGCGTGCAGGGAAATGAGCCCACCAGACGCAGGGAGCACCACGAGGCCTCTCTGGTCCACGCACTGGCACGTGAGTGACCTCGGACACCGGTGGAGAGTAGCGTAGCGCCTGCAATGGCCCTAGTACATGAGGAAATCGAGGGTGCCGTAAAAGTAGCAAATGAAACACTGGGGAAATAGGGTGGTTCTCAAAAACAATGTTGAAATTCTTGGATTGCCATTTTGGAAAAAGATAAAATTGGATCTATTGCTCATACCAGAATATATGCCAATGGATAGGAGATCTAAGTAAAAAATAAAACTATACAAGTACTGGAAAAGATATATATGCACACATTTTTTAATTGTATAAAACTATATATAATGTAAAAATATTATTTAATTAAATATATTTTTATTAAATTAACGCAGGAAGGATCAACCAGAAGTATAGAAAATAGTAACTTGTAGCAGAGGGACAGGAGACAGTAGACAGTTATGGGAGCTAGACTTCTCTGAGTTTACTTTCTACATAGCTTTGTCTTTGAACAATGTACATGTTTTACATTTTCAAAAATTAAATTAAATTAAAAGGATAAAAAGGGAAACATTTATAGTATACACATTAAAACAAGTGTTTCTTATTCTATCCAACTGCCAACATAACCACACAGAGAAAACACAATACTCTTACTGCATACAAGGGCTAAACTTCATAAGTAAAAAGCATTGCAAGGAAACCTTCAAGTTTATGAAGCAGGTCTATAGCTGTATAGTGCTGTAATTTCTGGAAGTATCTTGTGTGTATTATAGGATAGAGCAAATGAGTAAAAATATTTATATGGCTAAGAACTACAGTTTTTACTTTAGATGGGGCAATATAGAAATATGGACTGGGGAAAGCTTGGGGAAAGCCTTATGGTACTGAGTTCATAATTGAAATGCACATTTCCCGACTCTGTCCCTTGAAAGGGCATAGAAGCAATGGCACCTCAGTAGCCCTGAGCACACGGTGTGCCCAGATCTTGGTTCCTAAAAATCAGTCCACGGTAACAAAATGGAAGAAAAGGAAAACAGGGGTGCTTGGGAAAATGGGCGATATCAGCTTGGAGCAGCAAACGGTGAGCCTGAACTCCGGGACAGTGACAGAAGTCTAGGACGTGCTCAGAGGCTAGCAGGGTCCTGTCCACAGGGCACAGAAGCCACTAAGAAGTGACCTGCACATCCAAATGTGGGACCATTGAAGCATCAAAAAGAATCATGATGACAATGAATTAAAGTGCGTTGAAGTCCGCAGTAAGAGTGCTCGGCAAGCAGGAGAAAGAGAAACAGGAAAATCCTTTCCTCCCAAGAGTGGCTGCTAGTCAATGTAGACAGAATGCTAGAATTAGAAGGTCAGTATTTTGTAACCATCGATGACAATAGCTGATTCAAGCAGGATCACGAATCGATGTAAAATCATTGGGTGATGAACTCCTGGGGGTCAAGATATTCACAAGTTCTCAAAGTACCCCTCCCCAGATTATTTACTCATTGCAAAGGGGAAATCTTTATCTCTGCGGTGCAGGGAGCGAGCAGTCACTTTCTAACCAAGGGATCAGGTGAGAAGCATCGCCAACAAGCGTCCCGGCACCACACACCTCCTGCTGCAGCACAACGAAAGATACGCAATGTCACTTCTGGTACATTCTTGACAAGAAAACCTTCGGTCTGAATCTACTCAAGAGGAAACAATCAGACAGATGCAGAAAACGGGACATTGTATGAGACAACTGGCTCGCGTACTTCAAAATCGACAATGCTGTGGGGAGAAGGAGGCAGAGGGTGTGGTCAGCACTGAAAGAGACTAAAGAGAGCTGAAATCAAATACAAATATTTTTCCTAGATTGGAAAACAGAGAGATAAAAGACAGTTTTGAAACAGTTGGAGAAATACGAATGTGGACTGTATAATAGATGATATTGAAATAGCATTACTCTTCCTGGGAGTGGTCATTGCATTGTGATTATGTAGGAGATCAACGGTGATGTTTTGGGGGTGAATATCATGATATCTACACTAATTTTCAGGTGGCTCAGCCAAGAAAGGTAGATGTACACAGGGAGAAAGCAAACAGAGCACAGTGGTCGTTAGTGAATCTAGGCAGAGCATGTATAAATTTTGACTACATTGTTCCTGCAACTTTTTTGTGGATTTGAAGGTTTTTCAAAAAGCAAGAAGGTGAGAGAGAAGTGGAGAGACTGCCAGGCCTGCATGGCCATCCTGGCGCGTCAGACTGGGCCAGATCTCAGTGGGCAGCGTTCTGGGTAAAGCGCGTGCGGGGGAATGAGCGAGAGAAAGCAGCGCTGGGGACGGTGGACTGTGGAGCAGCGACTTGCGCAAACCCGGTGCGGATGCCTTCTTTCCCAGGAGTAGGGACCCGGGACCCTGCCCCTCCCGCAGTCCCTGCCCTGCACCCACGGGCTCTGTCCGCTCTGAGCCCCGGAGCAGCACTGGGAAGCAAACACTCAGCCAAACTGACAGCTTGATGACACAAACAGATGTTTTGGAATTTTTTTTCTTCATCAAATGAACTAAATTGGCTAATGGTTAGATTACCCACTGCCAAAAATAAGGTCTTGGAAAAAGAACAAAAAAATTAACTCTCCTGCTCAACCCCAGTCTTCTCAACTGTAAGTAGGTAAATGCCCCACAGCTTCATTTTAAATCTTGCCGAATTACCCCTGCACCAGAACCGGGCCCTGCGGGCGGGCTGCCTTCCCTCCTTTCAGTACACATGATCTCTCTTCCAACTCACCTTTCAGAGAAATGGAGGTTTAGCCTGCAAAACAAGATAATAGGACGTTCATTAGCTAAGTCTTAGATGACAGAAAGCACATGGAAAGTTTTCCTGCAGGAGAACGGCTCGCTTGTCAACAGCTTTTTCTTTTGGATCTAGCTTCTCGGGAACTCAGCCTGACTCCATCTAGTGTCAGTTTTGGAAACTTGAATTGTGCCTCCCCTGTGTTGGGAAGTGCCTGTTTGTAGAGGAGCTCTGGTGTGACGCCTGCCAAGCAGGGCTCCGGCAAGTGACGCCCACCCTGCCACTGCCTCCCAGCACCCCTCACCTGTCCTTCATCTCTTGTCTCCCTCCCTCCACCCATCTGCCTTCCTCCAGCATCCAACCATGTGCTTTTTCCCCGGCACTTCACTTTTGAAACGTTCACTGTTGAATATTTTGCACTCATGTTGCCTGGATTATGGAAATTTCTTCCCATAGCCCTGATGTCTCAAAATAATCCAGAGCTTCCACACACACAGAACATGGATGCTCCTCTTGCACGATCATGCAAGAACACAGTGACTGTTCATTCCACAGAGCTTGCAGACTGGCTTGTGTTGTGTTGCTCACAGCATCTTCCCTCACACACGTATGCGTCAGAGTCAATCATGAGTTGTCACATACACACACATGCACACACACAAACACGCATGCACACGCATGCACACACATCCACCAGGATTAAGAGTTGGGCTTTGTGAAATTTCACGCTGTGTGAATTCCATGACTAAGATGTCCCTGAGACATGGTCTGTATCAAGTTCTAGAGGTTTCCAAAGCAGACCGTTGATCCAAAGTGCCCCTCAATGCATGTGGGCAGTTTGCATGGTCAAGGTAGCCTGGCTGTGCCAGGCGGAGCTCAAGCACCTCAGAGCCCTTCCTAGGGGTGGTGAGCCAGTCACTGTGCTAAAGTCGCCACAGGGCTCAATGGTCTTGACCACAGGTCCTCAGCTGGCTGCAGCAGTCTGCAGCTTCTGCTCCTGTCCAACTCGTGTCCTGCATTCCCAGCACTGAGGCCACCTGGACCCACAAAGGCAATGCAGGTTCTGGCTCTGGAGGTCACCTGTTCATTTCCAGGTCCCCTTCCACCTGGAGCCAATTCTCCTCATCCTTCCAGGCTCCATCCACAGCCTCCCTGTGTCCCAGTCCACCAAGAGCCAGCGTGAAAACCCTGCTGGAGGCCAGTGGGCCCCGGTTCCACAGTGGGGGGCTGCAACAGCACCCGACGCACAGCGGGTGAGCGCTGCCTCGGGTGAGCGCAGACCGCGACGCCCTCCCGGCCAGGCGCTGCAGAGGCACACTCAGGGAGCTGGCATCACGCTGTCCCCCAAGGGCTAGAAGAAGACAGAGCTGCCCCAGGGAGAAGTCCGCTAGGGGTGGGGCATGGAGCCCCACTTTCCAATATGAGTGGTCTCGCGGGTTTGGTGGCACTGTGGGATATTCAGCGTGTTTCTTCTACTGAGAGGAATGTGACAGCTTCATCCAGTGTGGGTCAGGTGTGTGTGAATGTGTGCATGTCTGTGAGATGAGACGCCTGGCACCCCAGTTCCCCAGCCCCAAATGTCCTCAATTTCACCACACATTTCCAAAAGACCCCTGCCTGGTGCAGAAGGGACATGGCTAGCCAGAGGAGAGCCATGTGGCCACCCAGGGCCTGGAGTCCAGGCCCACACCACCTAGGGTGACCACACGTCCCTGTCTCCCTAGGACTTAGCAGTGCCTCTTCTCACTTTCACAAAGTCCTACTTTGGGTGATAAGTCACATGGTCTCCCAACTACACCTCTGTCTTCCCCAGCCCTGGCCCCAGTGGGGTAAGCAGACATAATGAAGGGGGTGAGGAGGGCAGGGAGAAGGAGAGTGGGAAGGGCCCTCGCAGCCAGAAAGCTCTGCCAAAATCAGAGCATCCGAAGAAGCAGAAATCCTCAAAACAGTGACCTTCTCCAGAAAGCCCATTGCTGGCTCATCCCCAGGGCGTGGACCCACAGGGGCTGTGCATCCCGACCTCTGACGACTGCGCCACGCATCCGTCTGTCATCCCATCCGTCCGTCCACTCCTGCACTGGACACCACTTGGTGCCTACCAAGCCCCAGGTCGCAGGGAAGAACTAGGGGGTGAGACTGAGCTTCGGCCCTTTCTAAAAGCCACCACCACCGTCTCAGCCCCAACCTCTGTCCTGAACATCAGCCATCTACTGAACATCTCCTCTACTTGGAAATCTCCAGAAACCTCAGGCTCACCATGTTCGAAAAAGTAGCTGCCATCTCACCCCGTCTCACCCCTAGCCCACAACCAAAGCTGCCCCCCCACCTACTTGCAGAAAACTCAGAGCTGCTCTAGTTCCCTTTCTCTCCCCACATGGCCGTACCAACCCCCGCAGCCCCTCGGTCCTGCGCCAGCCACCTCCTCCACATCCCCCGTCTGCCATCTCCTCTGTCACCTCCACCTGGCCTTGCTCCAGCAGGATCTGCAGCGGGCCTGACTCTACCACCCTGCACGCGTCCCTGTCTCCCGCTGGGCCCTCCCCCATGCTACTGTAACACAAAAACATCGCATCCCTCCCCTGCTTAGAACCTGTCGGTGGTTGACCAAAAGTTTCAGGATACATTCAGACTCCTGTGCTTAGCACGGACCCTCTGGCTCCCCATGAGTGGAAGCGGCCTGTCCCTCTAGCCTTGTCCCTGATACCTCCATGAGCAGCGTTTGCTCCTGCCCGCTGCGAGTTGCTGGCTGCAGGCTTTCCATAATGACCGGGGGTCCCCTGTGCCTACATGAGCTTCTCTCTGTCCTTCCACACGCAGACTGAAGCCCACTTCCCAGCTGGCTGTGCAGCCTCTGCACCCCCAAGACATGAGGCGACACGCACGTTGCCCTGCCACAGCCCTCCCGTGAGCTCGCTCCCACGCGCAGCCTCCACCAGCGACCGCCTGGATGGAGGGAGCTTGTCTTACTTCTCTGTTCTAAACCCCCAGCACCTGGCTCATGGCCTCGTGCGCATTCATTCATTCATTCAACAGGTACAAGAGCACCTACTCTCTTCTTGGCACTGAGCTAAGTGCTAGGGCCACAGAGGTGAAAAGGGAGACCTCACCCTTAAGTAGCTTGCATTTTAGGGAGGAAACCATAAAAAAAGACAAATCAATATAGCATGTAACATCAACTGGAGGAAAGAACTATTAAGAAACAATAAAGCCAGGTAAGGGGAAGAGAATAATGGCTGTGGGGGAGGGAGGATTCTGTTTTAAACAGGCCATCTATAATGAAGTGATGACATTGAAGTAGAGATGTGAAGGAAATGAGGGGTGAGGTTCGCAGCTATATGGGAAAAGAACAGTTCACATGGTAGGAAAAGCAAGTGCAAGGTCCTGAGGCAGGACTGTCCAGGAGGACGTGTACTCCGTGCAAAAGAGCAGTGTGGCTGGATGCCAGCAGAGAAGCCAAGAAACCTGGGACAGACCATGTGTGGCCTCCCAAGCGGTGGTGGCAGAGCCTGGGACCTCATTTTAAGTGGGGGATGGGGATTCCAACCCCCAAGTGGCTGGAGGGTTCCAAGCAAGGGGTGGGCCAGAATCTGACCGAGGGTGTGCAGAAACGAGCCCGAGTCCCCTTTGGCTGCTGTGCTCTGAAGCCCCCACTGTCATGACACCTGCCCACTGGTCCCAAGGAGAGGAGAGTGGGAGGACGGGGCCATGGCGCATTCCAGTCCCCCTAGAAAGCATGGCAGAGTGCAGAGAAGGGCGGGCGGCAAACCAGGGAGTGGGATGCGGGGACAGCAACGGCCCTCCCTGCCCCAGTGCAGCGGCCTTACCTCGGGGCTCTCTTCTTCAGCAGCGTGGCGTCTAGACAAAGAGGGTGGTGTTAGGCGGGAGGGCCGGCACAGAGGAGGGACCGAGCGCTCCCTGGAGCCCTTGCCTCCCCCGGGCCCTGACCAGCAGCTCCCGGCCCTCTGGTTCTGCAGCGCCCCACACACAGCTGCCCGCCCGCCCCGCTCTGCGGACAACTGTCTTCCATGCAACTGGTCCCTGGTGCCAAAACGGCTGGGGACCTGGGCCCGCCGCTTTGGTTCCCTGGCGCCCTCAAGTGATGCGGGGCCTGTCTGCTGTGGGCGAGAGGCTGTTTCCTCCCCCTCGTTTACAGGGACACACAGTCCACGCAGTGGGGCTCCCCTCTGCTCGGAAACGCCTCCCGCGACACTGTGCCATCATTGCATTAAGCAGCGTGACACGACACGGGACGATTTTGAGGCGACACCTCGGGAGAAAAGCGTGCGAGTCAGCACTGCGTTTGCGGCTGCAACCGCAGACTGGCTGCGGCACCGGCCCGGCCCGGAGCCACGCCCTGCGCCGCGGCCGGGCGGCCGGCGCTTCGCGGCGCTCGGGTCTGAGCGCACTTGCCCGAGGCACGGAAACAGGATGGTGCCGCCACCACCTATGCAGTGTGGGCAGCACCTGCCACCACCACCTGCCCGCACGGAGACCAGCCTCACCCCTCCGAGGAGACGCTGTCTGATCATGTCATGCGGAAAAGAGAACAGACATGTCTGTCTGGGCCCACCTGAGCTCCCCTCCCCGCCCTTCTCCAGGGGCCCGGTTCTCAGGCGTGCTGAGAGCCGAGTGGAAAGTGCAGAGGGTGGCAGAGACACAGACAGAGGCAGAGAGAGGGGCAGAGACAGAGAGATCAAAAGACAGAGAGACAGACAGGTGGCGGCATATGGAGACACAGAGACGCAGAGAGAGACGCCCACGCTGCACGGTGGCGGCATTTCCTGCCGGCCGCAGCTGCTGCGCGGGCACTGCGGCTTGGTGCCTCCTCGAGCGGGTGCCGTGGAGTTGCCCCCCTCTCGCCAGGCGGCTGCCTGGACGCTGTGCTTCCCGGGCCAGTCCTCACCACTGGGGGCCTGGTGTGCGCTTCTCAGGTCTGAAGAGTAGTCGTCGAACAAGCGTCTCCGGATCATGCAGATCTTCAGGGCCAGGAAGCCCGCAGAGATGGCGACGCCCAGCGCGGTGCCGATGAGGGCGTACTTGATGTCTGGCGCAGGGAGGAACCGAACAGCGGCCTCCGTCAGTCGCCACACTGCAAGGTCTTCCTCAGCTCCCTGTGCAAGCGGTGACGTCCAAAGCACGCGCGTGCACGCTCCCACCGCCGAGGCCAGCCTATTTTCCACGCCCGTGAGCCCCTGCCCCCAGCCTCCGCCACATCCCACCCTGTCCTCCTGGAGCACGGCCCCTGGTCCCTCCAGCTGTGGAAATCGTTCCCACCTCCCAGGGCCCTCATACTCACCTGCCACCCCAGGCCAGGTGGCAGGTGGCTCGTTTCTCTGGCTTCCTGTGGCCCTTCCTCTCTTATCCCTTCATCAACTCATTGACCCATCTGCCGAGTATGTGTTCATCACCTGCCTGAGGCGAGCACTGAGGGCAAGCGAACAGGAGCCTGTCTGCCTTTGAGGAGCCTGCAGGCATCTGGGGAGGGCAGGCAAAGAGCTCACTCTAAGGCCACACAACTGGGGTGCCCTGGGCCGGCTGGAGTCGTGGTGTCAGGAGCCCGTAAGGGGAAGTGCATGCAGACTGCACCTTGCCTGCGGGTGAGCCAGGCAGGGGGTGGGGGGAGCTGGAATTGTGTGGGTGGGGGATGCACAGGGAGGCAGAGCCTGCTGTCGGGGCTCGCAGCTGCAGCGCAGGGTGCTAGGGGTATGGGTCTGGAGCTGCTCATCCAGCACAGAGACCCGACAGGGGTGGCCCAGATGCCTCCTGCTGTAACCACACCAGACCATCTGGCTCAACTTGTATGTAACAAAGTTGTGAGTTGCTTCTCAGTTGCCCTGGGCCCCGGGGTTGAAAGTCACGCAACCTGAGCATGCCCAGATGAACCAAGTATGCAACCACAGAGGAGCCTAAGTGCTTGGACCAAGGAGAGGCAGCTGAAGAAGTGGGCACCACCCAGCAGGATCCAGGACCCAATCGGATTGGGTCACCCCATGGCAGGGTCCATTCAGGTCAGCCTCCTGGCATCACCTCCTTGCAGGATCCAGTCAGATCACGCCTCACTGCCCTATGCTCACAAAGCCAGCCCGACCCTCTTGTTCCGGGACACACTGCTTTGGAGCGTACCCCAGTGTGCTCCTTACTTGTGCCAGGTAATAAAAACTCTCTCGCTATAATCAGCTAGGCTGTGTCTGTTGATCTGATGTCCACCAAGCGAATGAACCCCTTCACTGGGGAGGTAACAGTGTCCCCTTTGAGCACAGGCTCCAGTGCAGGTCCCTGCCCCCTGGGATAAAGCCGTTAGCCACTCAGGCAGGCCTGGAGGGAGGGTGGCCCTTGTTCTGCACTCACCAGTGTGGAACCAGTTCTAGCGCCGCAGCCACCTGCCTGCAATTTCTGGAAAGCCTCCTTCTGCCCCCCGACCCGGCACCCAGGGTTAGATGGAGTCACCTACCAATTTCAGCCCCAGCAGACTTGCCAGTTGCCAACACTTGAGCTCCCCCAACGTCTGTAAGATAAGAAAACCCAGAGTCCAGTGAGAGCAAAGCCAGCTGCGATCAGGCCAGGCGGTGAGGGTCCCCGGCCACCCCTCCCACCTGGCCACCACCCTCAGAGCACACAGGTGGGCTCCTGATTGCCACCAAGGGTCTTGGAGCCTTGCTGGGACATTAGAGGCCCTCTCAAAACCCAGTCCAGGAATGTGATTCTGTCGGTTCAGTTGGGCCTTTTAACACAGTTTCCAAGGCCCACACGCTGAGCCCAGCCTGCCTGTCTAGGCTTCTGCCTCGGCCCACGGCCCGCTAGTCCAGCAGGACTGTGAGGCTTCCAGTTCCCCACGCAAGCAGGGTGTCCGCTGCCTCTGGGCCGCACCCTCCGCCCGGCTCCTTCTTCCCCCTGCTCCCTCACTTGGTCTTGGTTCTGGGTCGCTTCCTTCCTGACTCCCGCACCTAGGTGAACCGCCCCATGCGCGCTGCAGGGCTGTGCTCACCCGTGCTGGCCACTCGCGCCCAGCACTGCCGTGCCCCGGCCCACGCTCCCCGGGCATCAGCCCGCGGAGCCTCTCCCGCTGCTCCCCCACCCGCTGCAGGCGCAGGGCCCAGGACTCGGTGCGGTGCCGGCCGGAGTGGGCATCGCTAGATGTCTGCTGAGTGAACTGTGACCTGAAAGACCAAAATAGATGCCCCTTTATCCAACTAAGACAGACCCTAGGGTTAAGGACACAAAAGTTACCTAAGGACCAAGGGTTCAGGGCTCAGCTGGCATGGCAACTTCCTAAATTCCTGTGGCCATAAGAAAAACCACATCCTTGCTAAGCTTGCCAACAATGGGAGCTGTCAAAAAATTTTTCCAACCCCTCCTGACTCTGATTTACAACCAGACCCTACAACTCTGATCTGATTGAACAGAGAAGCAGACCTTAAAAGCCAGTTTTAACCTGGCTCATAGCGACTGCACACAAACTGTCTTAGTGTTCAGTAGTTCACCTTGTGAGGTAAAGAGCCAAATTCCACCTCATTTTAATGCTGAAACCCTGCCCCAAAATCAAAGTGAACAAGGGGTGTGTGTTACATATTTGTGTGCCCATTGCACCTGCGCGTGACCCCCTACAAATATGTATACCTTTCCCCCAAACCCGCTGAATATATACGACTCTATTGTGAGGTACAGACCCTGCGAGGCATAAAACCCAACCTGCCCTTTCCCTCTTCATAAAAAGCACCTTCACACCACACAGGAGAAGTTTGCAATCTGATATCTGCAATAAAGCCCTCCTTTCCGCTATTTAGCTATCCTGGTGGCCTTTTGGATGGCATAATGAATGAATGAATATGACAGAGCATGCCTCAGGGGTGCCTCACATTTCTAACCAGTGCTTGAAACCTTAACATGGGAGATATCACTCACAGCAGGGCCCGTGTCCCACAGAGGGGTCCTGCAAGAGCTATGCAGAGGTGTCAGCCTTGGAGAGGAAGGTGCACATTAACAGGCCGCTTGCTGTGAGTCAGATGCTGGGTGTGGTTCTGGTATTGGCAGATTTAATACTCACAGCAACAGCCCTATGAGACAGCCCTGTCACCATCGCCAGTTGATGCACAAGGACCCAGGGGCATAGAGGACTTGATAATGCATCCAAGGGCCAAGAGAAGTGGCAGTGGCAGGGCTGCACTGGGAGCCCAGGAAGCCCTGCAAGCACGAATCTGGATGTGGAGAAGCTGCCAGATGCAATAACACCAAAGCCTTCCAGGCCACGGGCTACAGTGGTGTGGGGTGGGGTGACCCATGGTGGGACCCAAGCCTGACTCTCACGTTCAGACTTCCAGGCAGAGGCAGAGGAGAGAACACCATGCCCCTGTGTGTCACAAAGGAAGCAGGTGTTCATCGGGGAAGACCAAGCTGCAGGACACCTGGCGGCCAAGGCAGGAAGACGTCCTCCACCTGCAGTAAGTACCCTGCCCGCCGTCCACTGTCAGCGGGGCCCAGGGTGACGTGGCAGGTTGAAGCGCTACAGAGGACCACTTTGCTCTGTGTGGTGGCAGCAAGGATCATGAGGATTTTTCTGCAGCCTAAATTGGTAGATGGATAAAGCTTGGGGTTCCAAAGCAAAGTTCACGGCTTTGTTCTAATCACGGGTCTCTTTGGAAATGCAGTAATTTCTGTCTTTCCAACAGATGCAAGCCCCCGAGTGCACCGCGCCCACTCACACGCGCTGACACACTGCACATGAGATGGGTGGGCCGCGTCCATTCACACTCACTGACACACTGCACACGAGATGAGTGGGCCACGCCCATTCACACGCACTGACACACTGCACACGAGATGGGTGGGCCTCGTCCACTCACACGCACTGACACACTGCACACGAGATGGGTGGGCCTCGTCCACTCACACGCACTGACACACTGCACACGAGATGGGTGGGCCGTGTCCACTAACACACACTGACACACTGCACACGAGATGGGTGGGCCGCGTCCACTCACACGCACTGACACACTGCACACGAGATGGGTGGGCCGTGCCCACTCACACGCACTGACACACTGCACACGAGATGGGTGGGCCGCGCCCACTCACACGCACTGACACACTGCACACGAGATGGGTGGGCCACGCCCATTCACACGCACTGACACACTGCACACGAGATGGGTGGGCCTCATCCACTCACACGCACTGACACCACGGTACACGAGATGGGTGGGCCACGCCCATTCACACGCACTGACACACTGCACACGAGATGGGTGGGCCGCGCCCACTCACATACACTGACACACTGCACACGAGATGAGTGGGCCGCGTCCACTCACACGCACTGACACACTGCACACGAGATGGGTGGGCCGCGTCCACTCACACGCGCTGACACACTGCACACGAGATGGGTGGGCCGCGCCCTCTCACACGCGCTGACACACTGCACACCGGATGGGTGGACCAGATCCACTCACACGCACTGACACACGGCACACGAGATGGGTGGGCGCCCTCTCACACGCACTGACACACTGCACACGAGATGGCCGACCGTGTTTATCTCTGAATCCCCAGTGAGCCTCACACCACCACCTTTCGCTGTTTCTTTGAATTAACCCTCGTGCTCCAGCCAGGCTGAGAACCTCCCAGGGATGTGGCAGAGCCGTGTGACGGACAGACCTGTGCCCTAAACTCAGAGCCGCGCGTGCTGCAGCCCCACCTGCGCCCGGCCCTGCGCTGACACCTCCGACCTCTCTGCCCTCCGTGGGCAGAAGGCAGGGGCACGGGAGGCCGTAGGGGACAGCCTCCCCCACACGCTGACATGCCGCCTGGTCCCCTCAGGGCCCTGCGTGACCACACCTCCGCCGCGGCGCACACACTGGTTCAAGAGGAAACATGGACAGAGAAAGAAGGAGGGAGCAGACGGAGTGGGAGCGCTGAGAGGCACGGGGAAACACAGGCGGACGCGCAGGGCCCCACGCGGAGGCTATGCCCGGGCGGCTCACGCCGTCCACGGGAGGGAGCACAAAGAAAGGAGAAAACCGCAGTGTCAGAAAGCCGCGGCCCAGCCTGGCGCAGCCTCCCAAAGGGCAGCCAGGCCCCATCTCACCAGGCCAGCGACACCCTTCCTCAACCCCCCCAGTGCATGTCCTGAGCACGGGGCTCTTTCTGCCCCTCCTCGTGCCGGGGCCTCAGCTCAGCCCCCGCTGGGGGAGGGCTTGCTGGACACCACCCTCCACACCCATTCTGTGTCGCCTCGGAAACGGAGGCTTCCCGGTCCCTGCCCTGGCAGGCCTCTCGGGCGGAGCTCTGCTCCCTCGGGGCTGGCTGGGCCCTGAGTGACTCTCCCAGGAGCCCGCCTGCAGCGCACAAGCGTGCTCGGCGGACCAGGCCGGGCACCGAAACAGGCGATGGCGGCAAGGCCTGCTAGCCAGCCCCACGGACACCCGGCGGCAGCCTCTCCCCTCCCCAGGGACAGAAATCCCCAGCGCAGCCATCCCCTGCACAGGGAGCTGCCACCCTGCCCGCTACCACCCTGGGCGAGGACCCATCCTGAGCCACCCGCTCGGCCGCCTGCCTCCTGCCGGGACCGAAGCTGGGGCAGGCCCTCCTGGGCCATACGCCCGCTGCGAGCCCGGCGCTGAAGTGCCCTGGCTCTGCAGAGTAGCTGGTTGGTGGGTGTCCTAGCAGGGCCCATGGGCCGGCATGGCCGAGGACTCCACAATGCTCCTGCCGCCCCGGATCTGTGACGGCCACGGAGGAAGCGCACAGAAGCAGCTGGAGCCGCACCACGGCTCTCTGCTGGAATTCTCTGGCCTCTGGTCTCTGGTCTTTCTTGCAAAACAAAGAGTGGAATTTGGCACCCGGGAGAGTCCAGGGGGCTGAGCAGGGGTGAGATGTACCAGGCGGATCCCCCAGTGGTAGGAATAAGGGGTGTGAGGCAGGGACCCTTCTGACCAGTAGATTCAGGAAGACAGTAGGTGGCCAAATTGGCTTGACCCCATCTGACTGCCACCACTGGCCAAGTGAGCCTGGCCGACCCACCTCCCTCAGACCGTCCACACTGGCTGAGTGCACAAAGCCAGGGCATGGCCCTTGCTGCTGCCTAGGGCAGAGAGAGGAAGGCGCCTCTGGATGGCCCTGCTGAGATTCTGGGCCTTCTGCAGCTCCACCTGCACAGCCTCCCTGCATGGTTGGGTTAGGCCCTGAACAAAGGAGGTTTTTCTAATGTGCACAAAGGCACATTAGAATGACACAATGTATGGGCTCTTGACTCCAGAGTCTCTGCTTTCTCCCCATGCCCCATTTGTACCTGAAACTCTGCTCCTCCCTGCCAAAACAGTGGGCCCCAGCCCCTCCATGCACCCCCTCCTGCCTGCAGTACACAACCTGCTCTGCCAGTGGCTTCCCTGACAGCAAGGAGCCTCCTGCAAGAGTGCATGGCCCTGAGGCCTGTGGCCCCCAGCAACACAGGAGGACAGCCACACTGCTGTCTGCAGAGGAAGACGGCAGGGCTGTTCTACGCAA